TTTCTGCTTCGTGAGGAGACCAAAGAACTAAATGCCTTCCTCGAAAGCTGGGGTAGATATTGGAGGACAGTGGTCTCAAAAATAGTAATGGTGAATAGGTGACCCATTGAGCTCTCAGATCCAAAAAGCTCAATAGGGATGGGTTTCACTTATCTTCTGAACCCTAGAAGTGAAAAATTGACTTTTGTGGATCTAAACAGGCTTCCAAATTTGGAGTCATTTGAATATGAAAGTCTGGTTCAGTCCTGTCTCTAGTACTTCCCCTGTAGTTACTCAAAAAATCCTTAAAGCATCACATTTTTGCTTAGTTTCATAGAAACAGTTTACAGTATCTATCTGTATTTTTGCTGTGCAAGAACCTCTATAAACATCTTGGAGATTTAGGACTTGGCTAAAAAACCACAACAGTGTTATTACTTCCAGCAGTAAACATCTTTCAAAATATCCCAAAATCCCATATAACTTCAGGTGCTCAAACTGCAAAGTACAATTAGCTATATAGCAAAGGAGGGTACTCTGCGCAATTTGAAGAAGTCTGATTTGTACTATGCCTCCTCAGTGATACAATCTCATTTTCATGGTACTCTTTAAATGTTCTCTTTCTACATATGCACACCCAAGCATGATTCTAGAGGATTTTAATGAATGAAGCACAAACAGCTGTGGCAATATTTGCATGACAAGAGAAGTAAGCTCTCAATCAACCAAGTCCCATGACATCTCAAGCTTTACAGGATTAAAAACTATCAATCCCTTGAATTTCACTTGGAAACTTATTTGCAGCCAGTTCAGATTCCAGAACACTGTTTAATAACGTGCTTTCTGTGGCTGCATCTATGTTTGGAATGTAGTACCCACTTTCCAGTGAAAGCAACTGTGTCAATGCAAGTGTAGACAAGGTTTAGCTACGTTCAGTATGTCAGAACAGATTTGTAACTTGACAAAGCAAGTTTTTGTGACATGGTGTTGAAAACACAAGTTTGGGTTGTATATTTGGAGACTTCACTTCCACTCTTATTCATCTGATGAAGTGGAGTTTATCCAGGAAACCTTATGTCCTAATCAGGGGCAGATGACGATCTTGCGGGGCCCAGGGCAGCACAATTTCGCGGGTCCCCCCCCCTTTGACATGGCGCATGCGTGGTGGCGCCATGGTGCATACGTGGGGCTTTTGAAGCATGGGGCCTGGGATGGCCGCCCCGCTCACCCTGCCCTAGATCCGCCCCTGGTCCTAATGAATCTGTTAGTCACTAAGGGCATGTCACCACTGGGGAGTTATTTTGAAAAAACAAAGCAAGCATCCACACCACTACCAAGCCTGTTATTTTGAAATAATGGCCTTGTTATTTTGAAATAATAACTTCTGCTTGAAAGAGGAATAAGCTCATTTCATAATAGTTTTTTTTCATGAGTTATTATTTCAAAATAACTTATTTCGAAATAACCTGGTAGTGTAGACACACATCTACACTGCAGAGCTATTTCAGGATACAGGAAATATCCCAAAATAACTATTCCACGTCTATTGAAGCAGACTGTTATTTTTAAATAGATTTTGAAATAATGGGCAGCTTATTCTGATATCCTGGGCAATTTTGGAATTGCGAGTTATTTCAAAATTTGGTGCTGTGTAAACAGTGCCAAATTACGAAATAAGCTATTTTAATGTAAGGGTGCTGTGCAGGTGCACCGTCAGGCTATATCTAGACTGCAGACTTCTTTCGGAAGAGATCTTCTGGAAAAACTTCTTCTGAAAGAGTGCTTCCACACTGCCTAAGTGCATCAAAAAAGGGATCAGCTTTTTCAAAAGATAGCATCCACACTGAATGGGCACTATTTTGCATTTAAGCTGTGATTACTATGGACAGAGTGGCCATCAGGGCACCTGTGCTTTTTTCTCTTTCCTCTTCTTTCGAAAGAACTCTCTCTTTCCCATCCCCACACACCTTTTTCTGAAAGAGCTCTTTCGGAAAAAGGCTGCTTCGTTGTAGAAAGAGGTTTACTAATGTCGGAAAAACCCCTCTGTCTTTTTGATATTTTTGTCCCCCTGAAAGAATGAGATTCCAGTGTGGACAAAAGTGAAGCTTTTTCAGAAAAATAGCCATTTTTCCAAAAAAACCTCTGCAGGGTAGACACATCCTCAGAGAAGAAGAAAAGGAATGACTAGAGGACAGGGGAAATTTAGGATTTAAATTGGGAAATAAATTATGTGTACACATGTAGGTAGTTGTCTCAAAGGCTGGGTGGAGGAACAGATTACAAATATGAAAGATGTAAATTTCAAGGAGAGAAAGGAACAGTTAGCAGCATCAGCGTTATAACTAGGAGTAATGGGATGAAAATACAAAAGGGAAAATTTTGCACTAAATATCAGGAATATTCTGGCATGCATGGATTGTAAAATTTATTTCACACATTCGTTTGGACACAATGCAAAATTTTGTGGTTATCTTTTTAAACTAAGTAATGAGAGACCATAGACTTTAAGGATGGAAAATACTTAACAGCTCATCTGGTGTGCAATTCATCATGTGCATAGGGTGACTCTAGGCCTAGGTCCCATTTACACTCTATTTTGAGAGCTCAAGTGGGTCTTAAATGTTACAGAGGCCAATGCATAAGGGTAAATGTCACCCCCAGATGATACTCCTTCCCTTTTTAGGCCTGAGTACTGGTAGGGTGAAAAATAATTTGTGCAGTCTCACTTTCAGAAAAGTCTTCCATCTGTTACTCCAAATACTAACTCCTAGAAATCCATTGTACCTCGGGGGAGTGTGAATATTAATATTTCAAAGCTTTTCTGAGTGCTAAACATTTGGCTTTCTTTGCGATGTGATACATAGAGATATTTAAAAAAATATTATATAAGCCTTCCTAGGATTGTTCACAACAAAATTTGTCAGGTCTCCCCCGGAAATCTGTATAGTATGGGGTAAAAGCACACAAGACCAAATTTTATGGTCCATGGCCTGTTTTTCATGGTCGTGAATTTGGAAAGGTCCTAGTCATTCATATCAATTGGACTGCTCATGTGAGTCAGAATTTATTGAATAAGTGCTTTAGGTTTGAGCCTACATTGAAATTCAGTACAGATATCGCATTCCAACTCACTGTAGAAAGTTTCCTCCTTACCAAGTTCTTTCAACTAAAATTTACAATACTCTCATCAAATAGTACATCCTATTTTTAAAATGTGCTTCTGGTAGAAGCTTAGTATCATTAAAACTATCCAAGAAATAAGATTGTTGTCATAAAGTTAGTCTGTGGAGAGACATTTTTCCTTTCTCATCGAACTGTGCTGATGTTGACCTGGACTTAACAATGCACTTGGGTTCTTCCCATCTTCCTGAATCACTCTGTGAAGTGCAATAATTGGTGCAAAGTAGCTCAAATGTGCTTCTGGTAGAAGCTTAGTATCATTAAAACTATCCAAGAAATAAGATTGTTGTCATAAAGTTAGTCTGTGGAGAGACATTTTTCCTTTCTCATCGAACTGTGCTGATGTTGACCTGGACTTAACAATGCACTTGGGTTCTTCCCATCTTCCTGAATCACTCTGTGAAGTGCAATAATTGGTGCAAAGTAGCTCAAGTAAACTCTTGACATGATCCTGCTAAAAGGTGTTGTTCAGACAGCATTGTAGTTATTGGTAAATTGGCAAGGATCATGGGTAGGCTTTAAAGCAAAGGTGATTATTTTAACCTGTCTATTCCATTCGGTACAGGGTTATAGTGGTCTTCTATCTGAACACTGAACTTGGAGTTGCTGTATGTATTCTAAACAGAATACAAATGATGGAGCCATCAGAAATTGCATCAGGTGTGTCTCATTAATTAGCATACTGCATATTCTGTCGAGGGTGTCTTTTCATGTTAGACTGTTAACATTGCATTTTTTATCATTGCATAAGTGACATTCAGATAGGTAGTATTGCATCACAGTCATGGGTGTATAAAGTTCAAGAGAAAGCAATTAAAGTAATGGATTATAATCACAATGTAAGTCCTGTGATACTGTCTCTAGAGGTGGTAGCATTCTGGTGAGACAACATGCCCTTCACCCACATTTAGCCATATATTCTATAATTGCCAACCAACACAAAACAAAAACTAGTCGATAGATGCTAATATGCAATCTGCAGGAGTTGATATTTATTTAAATAATTTGAATAGATTCCGCAGTCCTTATATTTGTAAAACCTCCTGCTGACTTTATTCAGGCAAAGCATATCCTGAAGAGCACAGAATGGAACTGAAAATGAAATATAGATTTGATCCCAAAACTTATTTACTAAAAGGAGGCTGGATTTAATCCATTTCAGGAGAAATATTGTGCAGTGGTTGTTTTGTTTGCTCATCACAGCAATGCAATATGCTAGATAAAGAATGTCATTGCCAATGGGATTCAGGCCCGTCAATGGGGGTGGGGAGGCAATTTCATAGGGACCTGGAAATTTATAAAGGCCTGGGAGCCCTTGGTCACTGGTGCTGTAGCTCTGCTGAAAAGCATCTTTTGATTGAAAGATGCATTTGATATGCGCCATGCAAGTTCCAGGATGGGGTTACTCAGCAAGTGGGGGACCAGGCTGGGCCAGCCCAGGACTCCTCCGGGTGAGTGTGTGCTTGGGGGTTTCTTCAGGTATGTGTAGGGGTGGGAGGTCTTGTGGTGCTGGCCAAGGGAAGATCCATTAAGTTTCACCCTGGTGCCCAGCATTGCTGTCAGTGGGAGTGGAATAACTCATAACATAGTTTATAGCTGAGCAGATCATTTAGCTGATGGATTCACCCTCCTCTTCCACTTAAAGGATGTCCGCAAACAAAAAGCAGTTTCTTCAAATGTGCTTACTAGTCACATTTGTTTTTTTTTATATATTGCATCACGTGCAGACATATTACTATGAACAATCAATATTTAATATATTAAAACTGAGCTGTGTTGGTGATTGTGATTGGTCACATCAGATACATGCATTTTTGTTCCCTTCCTGGAGGGACATAGGAGGGTTTAAATTAGGTGTAACTGGTGCACTGGTTTTCTGGTAGCCTTAAGCACAAAGGTAAATTTCACCATCATCATATGTGCCTGATGGTAAATCTGCATTGCAATGTGAGGTGCAATTTCAGCTGAGGCAGACACATCTGATAGCATGGTTAAAGCCAGGTCTTTACTGAGAAGTTATGTTGACCTAAGTTGTCTTGTGCCAACTTATGTCTATACTCAAATTGGCCTCTGGCTGATGTAAGTGCATAGTTACAGCAACACTGTAAAACCACCTTGCCAAATGGCATGGAGCTGTGTGCGACCTGTGTTGGCCCTAACAGACTACTAGCAGCTGTCCCACCATGCCCTGTCCCTGTGACCGTACCTACTCCATTGTTCAGAGGTGTCAGGGACCATAAGTCTCTTAGGAAGAGGCATTTCAGAAATACCTGGGAGGTTTTAATGGAGATGGGGGAGCAAACATAGTGGTTCTCCTTTCTGTGTGCTACCCAAATGACGATACCAGCCCCACTCACTGGACACAGTGTTGTCTGGAGTAGGCAGGAAGTAAGACTGGAAGTGTAGATGCAGCAGTATGGGGTCGAGCAACATGAGGATGTACCTAGAGCCTCTACCGTGCTTGTAAAGCCTGTGCTGAGGCCAGGCCTGCTGACCTGGGGAGGAAGGGAGCAGTTGCCCTGGGGCCCAACAATTCAAGGGACCTGGGGCTCCCAGCCACTACTCCTGTGGGATGGTGGCAGCCAGAGACTTGGGCCCTTTTCATCGCCACTACAGTGCACACACGGTCCATACGGGTCTAAGGGCTGGAGGTGGGGTGGGAAGAGGGGGAGCAGAGGGCTGGCTGCTCCCATCCTCGTGCCTTCTACCCAAAGTCCCATTCTTTCTGGGAGCATAAAGCTAGCCCCTCCCCCCACCTTGCGCAAGGGCTCATGCAGGCTGTTGGCTCACCTGGCGGAGGCCTGCCTTGCTGCATTTGTCCCGCTACTTTTAGCCATGCTAGTGCAGTTCAAGATAGCGCAGACAGATCTAACCATGCTGCAATTCCACTTCAGATTGCAGTATAAATATGCCCGTACAGTACATCTACACAGTAGCTTGTACCTTGAAATAAGCTATGCAATTTGAGCTGCACAAATTGCGTAGCTTATTTCTCAGTAGCTTATTTCGAAATTTGGAGCTATCTACACAGAGAAATTTTGAAATAAATCACTATTCTGACATCTTCCTTAATCCTCGTGCAACGAGGTGAACAGAAAGCTGGAATAAGAAGCCCCGTTATTTCAAATGTATTTCAAAATAATGGGCTTCTTGTGTAGAGAGTGCAGAATGCTATTTCGGGATAACGGACATTATCTTGAAATAGTGCCACTGTGGGGCCAGATTTGATGAAGTGAACATGCGTGAGGGCCGACCATTTTGCCTGACATTCTTTGAACCATTAAAATTAAATGCAAATTAACTATTTTATGCAAAGTTTATTGCAAACGGCATACTTTTCATTTCGTCACATGGATGACAAATCTAAACAGGTGTTAAATCACTCTGCCTTTCATATCTGAAGGCCAGATGAAAAAAAAATCCAGGAAGCTGAAATATATGTCAGGAACATTGTAAAGTACATTACATATTATTGGTAATAAAGGTTGTCTGTCAACTTTTAAGTTCAAAAAATATGAACAGGAACATAACACCAAGTATACATGTTGTGTCCAAATATATTTATAACTGATTTAGACCAACTGACATTAACTGAGATTTTACAATGTATTCATCTCAATACATATGGATTCGTTGGGGGCCATAAAAGATAGATATTGCCAAATTACCTGTGGGGCCATATTAAACCGGATCACGGGCCGCAATTGGCCCCCGGGCCGGACTTTGGACATGCCTGGTGTAGACGTACCCTTAATGGAAAGTCCTACATTGCTTAATCTCTTTTATTTACCCAGATCCAAATTGTGGGGCAAGTTTCAATTCTGATGTGAACTTTCTGGTGAAGGTCAAGATTTTAAAAGTGAAGGTGCAGATAGGTGCCTTAAATTAATCCTACTTGGTGCCTACCTGTATTTTTAGATGCCTAATAATATTAGAAATCTGGTCCCTTAAGTGCTTTTGGATGCCAAGCTCACTGTATAGTGTGGGTGCTCAGTGTTTTTTTGCAAATCAAGCCTCCTTAATACTTTTCATATTGGGAACCCAAAACCCTGTGACTCCCGAAATCACCATTTTTGAAAATCGTGTCCTTGGGCTTATTTATACTTTTTTTTTTTTTTTTTTTAAAGTTAGCATCTGATTCTTCTCCCATTGAAGTCACTGGGATATTGCTCTTGACTTCCATGGTAACAGGATCTTCCCCTTTGTTAGTTCTGCTTTTTCAATTCAGCAGAAAAGTACTAGAAATGTGAAGATCTCTTCTCCATTCTGGAGCGAAGGTACACATACATACAAGGATGTATATAGCTGCTGTCTAATTGGCCACAAGATAAAATACTAGAAATGAATAGGTACTTGCTGTGTTTTAAAATATACAGTAATAAAGCACAGTGACACCAATCCAGCCATGAATCTATTTAATCTTTTGCATCCTTTTCTTGTCTTTGAGTGACAGATTGATTAATGCTTACAAAAAATGTACCACCATTGTTGTTTTGGCAAACAGAAGTATACCATTAAAAAAAAGCATGCAGCACTAGATTGTGTTTGTAAGGCATAACCCTGCCTTGAAAGTGTTACAGATCCATGTTATCCTAGAGTGGGTTCTCCAACTTTATTGCACTGTGACCCCTTTTTGACAGCAAAAATTATGACATGACTTTGGCCTTGGACAATGGAGTTCTGACAGACTCCTGTAAGTCTAAGCCAGTCCTGGTTACCCCACTAAAGTTGGGTCTCGTCGAACCTCAGTTTGAAAACTGCTGCTCTAGAGGGAGCACCAGAGGCATTCTGGTTTTGTGAGCTTCAGGAATTCCCCAGTGGTGGGGGCAGTGGAAACTGCAACACCTTTTTAAGGCATGCTGTCTACTCCCCCAGCTGGCTGAAGTGTGGAGAGAGTGAAGCCACCTATATTCCCACTCTTCTTTGCTCTTCTTTGGACATAAAGGAACTCACAGGAAGCACTCTGAAACCTGTGAGGTCCCAGACTGCAAAAGCTGTAGAACTGTCCTTAATGCAGGTCATACAGAGGGTAGGGAGAAGATCCTGTAGTCCCCCCATACTGCATGATTGCATAAGTACTAGCCAGAGTATGTTGCTAAACTGGAAATAATTTTATTGCAGCACCTCTAATTATTCTTTTCTTAAAATGGAGACTGAAACAGGAAGGGGCTTAGAAATGTTTAGTGTACTTGGGACGTAAATACTGGGTGGACTTGTAGGCTCTAAAATTTTACATTGTTTTGTTTTTGAGTGCAATTAATATTACATTTGTAAATTGAACTTTCACACTAAAAAGATGGCACTACAGCATTTGTATGAAGTGAATTGAAAAATACTTTTTTATTTAAAGTGTAAATATTTGTAATCAAAAGTAATATAAATTAAGCATAGTACACTCTAATTGAAATCAGTATTTTTGAAAATGTAGAAATTAGTAAATTTCTATTTGTATTGTTTAATTGTGATTAAAACTGAGACTAATCATGATATTTTAATCACAATTATTATTTTTTGTTAATTGTATGAGTTAACTACCATTATCAACAGTCCTAATATATATATTTTGATCAGAGTTGTTTTGGCCTTGGCCTTAACCCTTGGAACTTTTTGTTCAGTGTATTTGCAGTAACTGTGCTCCGTGCAGTATGCATGAAATTTCT